AACACAGATTCCAACAGCTTGGCTCTTTTTCTCAAAATATGGTGACACCACTTCCTTTAGGAAATACCTCTTCTCTTCACAGCTTTTATCTGCTATAGATGTGCAAAACTGCAAAAGAAATATGTTTTTAAAAATGATGATTCATCAGTTTTGGACTGTAGAAACTGATGTCTATAATTTACACAAAATCTATTAAAAATAAGCAGTAAAGGCCCATTGGGCAGTCAGATCAGTGGATTGAACAAAGGGCAAGGAAAGGAGACTGATACCTGCACTCCCTCCGGTAGCAAATGTAGAGACAGCAAAGATGCAGACTTCTCTACGGCCATAAACCTTCTGCAGGTCCATGTCAGCAAGGTCAGGACCTGCCTAGCAAAGAAGAGGGAATCCTGTTTCCTTGTCACATGCCCAGGAAAGCCCAGTGTGACAGTTTGTACGCGCAGCCTTCATCCAGAACTGCCGTGCTACAGCCTCCAGCTTGCTCCTAAGGCTGCCACACACTTGTCGTGGGATGTACAGCCATGAATGCTGGCTGAATGTTCAACCCTGGTGGAAACCTCAGCATGCCATTAGTGTACTGTCCCCTAGCACTTGTTCCTGTTCAGCCACTGCCCGTGGTTTAGATTACATCTAATGAGAGCAGACAAGTAGGACGTGTACTTGTGCCATGGGAGTCACCAGCCGCGCGCGTGTGATGAACGTCGCCCCAGCAGACGCCGACGCCAGGGAAAGCAAGTCCTGGTGAGCTCTTTTTAGAAGGCCTGGCATCATTCCCCAGGCTGGTTCTCCATGAATAGACTTGTGTGTCTGCCAGGGGCTTCACCTGCACATAGCCAGATGCAGTGGGGTCTGGATATCACCCCTCCAGCCAGGACCCTTCTATTCCCACTACCTGTTCATTTTACTTTTAATTTACATTCTTCCCCCCCACCCCATTCTCCTTTATTCATTATTGCATCACCCTTTGTCCTCACATCAGCCAAGTTCCCTACATTTTTAGCTATGAGCAAAAAGCATTAAAAATGCAATATTTGGACAACATAAAATCCTAATAATCCTGTTTCTATATGCTTTGACTTCTGCCTCTGCTGGAGGCATCACTTGTTCCTGCCTACAGCTGTACCAAGAAAAAGTGTGGAGGAAACACACTGCATGTTCTAGTATTTGTAAATTGTTAGACTTCTGAGGTTATGTAAGAATTTTATCTCCTTTTTTTTTTTTGTTTTTTTTTTTTTTTTTTTGTTTTTTTGTTTTTTTTTTTTTTTTTTTGTTTTTTTGTTTTTTTTTTTTTTTTTTTGTTTTCTTAGCATTCAGTGATACCAGAAATGCAGAGATCAAGAGACTGATATTATGTACTGGCTAAGTCTTACTGTAAGAACTTAATATTTGCCTTCTAGTGTATAAGGCTTCAGCAGAAGAAAACAGGGGTCAGGTAGCAGGACCTCAGTGAAGACTCACAAGTCGCTGTACTATGCTGTGTAAATACTTAATATGCGTATGTTTCATTTTGTCAGTCCTGCAAATTAACTTTTTATCTGGTGATTCAATTCTCTTATCATCCCCAGCTTGTTTACTGAATTTTAAGTCTTGGGCAAGATGAAGCAAGCTCGTGAGGAGTAGCTGGTTTTCAAAAGATACAAGCTCCAGATAACCGAGGACAAGTAAGGCACACAACAATATTGAAATCACTCAGAGTTTTATTGCAGCTGACTGAGACAGAGTGTGCTTTGAGGCTGGGAAATTTCCATTACTGAACTGCAGGACAGTGCCTGGATACTGCTACTACCGCACCTGAAAAATGAAAGAAACTTAATTTTATATAGACAGCAACAAAGTGTCAGTATATTAATTAAAAGAGCTAGATCTGTATGATAAGTGTTTAAGTTTGCTGTAAAATGGATTCCTTTAAAATATTTAGAATCAATATTTTTATTTATTTATAATAAAAATATTTTAAATATTTGTAAATATTTATATTTACAATAGATGATTGTAACTAGATGTTCAAAACTAAGGAACATAAAAATGATGTGAAATTGCAGCCGTGTTTTCAAACCATATTTCTGAACAGCAAAGCTAACCAGAACATGATAGATAATACAAGACATCTCCTACAACAGTGACAGGTTCTGACAGTGACAGAATGATACCCAGTGCAGGATTAAGGCTGTTACTGTCAGAATCACTCTGCAATTAATAATCTTTTGTGCTCCCCTTGGCATGCACAGAACAACCACAGCAATCTGTTTTTTCATCTTAACTCCACGGTGTCTAATCCACAGTAAGCTCCATGCAAAGTCCATCAGAATGTTGAATGCAGAAAAAAAGAAACACTGGAGGGGGAAAGTAAATTTGTTCTGGCACCAAGTGCCAGCAATTTGGATGAAAGATTGTTTCTAACCTCCCAGCAGTGCAAGATTACAGCAAGATCCTCATTTTCTTTGAGGTCACTTTACTCTGCCAAAGCAGTGGTCAACATTCACGTGAAGATCAGTCTCAAGGGATTTCTGATGTGTCACCTGTTCAGTCAAGCCCAGGTAGGTACTGACTAGAAGTTATTACCAGCTGATGCTCCTTCTGAATCTTAGGATAGTTCCCTGTGGATCAGAGCTCATATCTAAGCAATTTCAGGAACCATCACCATGGTTCCTGAGTGCCTTACAAGTTAAAATATATCTTTATAAAACATTTTAACATGTCTTATTTCTCTCTCTCGTCACCCCCGCATAAAGGCTTGAGGTCTTTTTAAATAATTCTGGTAAAACTGTACGTTCTTAATGCCTGTGTTTAGTTGGGATGATGGGGAGGTTCAGGTTCATGCTGACACACAGCTACCAAGAAAGCCATGGCTGCAATGTCCCACACAAACCACACAACCGGTATAATTATGACGGTTTTTAGGAGATGTGGCTTCAGTTTTAAACCAGCACAAAGATCTGGGATGCCTCCCACCCCCAGTACGGAGGGGCACCATAGGGCAGCTCCGTGGTGTTTGTCCTCGGCCTGGCCTGGCACCGCCGATCCCAGGCCTCAGGGGCCTTGTGGTACAACACTCCCTTCCCAAGAGACCTATTTACAGAACAGGAACCAACAGTTAAAGCAGGAACGAGTGACAGTGCAGGGAATTTCTAGATCCTGATTGTAGGATGAACTCATTCATGTGACTCCTGAACTTGACTGAGGATGGAGACAGTCCAAACCATGACGTATTTACACTGACTTAGCTTATGGCTTAGCTTTTCCTTAATATTCCTGTTTCTGCTTACACAAACTCTTCTCAGCAGTGCTTTGATTTCTGATTGAAATAAAAAGGCTTTTTCCTTTTGCTTTTCATTATCTGCTATTTTTTTTTAGTAAGCATCACCTCCCCCAACACAGCCCTTTATTTTGATCATGGAGTTCCTAATTTCCTTAAAACACGTTTATGTGCTTTCCAGAATTCAGGCTTTAATGTCACCTTGTTAAGGCAAAAGACCCAACATTAAGTGCAGGTAATGGCAGTGTATTTAAGTAGGCTGAAACCTGATTGATACCACTCCCATCTGCTCTGCCTATCTCAGCAAGTGCAGAGCCTCACTGAAATACTGCACCAGTTCTGTCACGGGAGGAGTTGTTGGGAGAGCATGCCACAGCCTCTGACCACTTATTCGGGCTTAATTGGATTAGACATATATTTGAACACAGCACTCAAAGGAGCTGACAGTCCTTCCACAATTTCCTGGCCTGCCTGGTCGGTTTCCTTTTTGATCAGACACATCCCAGTGAAGGTAGAAAATAATCTAGATACACACCAGTTTTTAATTAAATCGGGTATGACAGGCTGTGTTTAAGCTACATTCTCCATAATAATTTGTTTTGCATTTGCTGATGACAGATTTATTTATGTATGTAATCAGAACTGTAAGCAAATTTTCATTTTTCGAGAACCTTTAAAATAATACTTGACTTGGTTTCAGAAAATTTAAACACCCGCATTTACTGCCGTCTGAAATTTCTGAGAAAAACAACGCTGCGTTTCCGAAGCGCAGAACACACCACGAAACAAAAACCATTATACAGACATAAAAATTAATACATCAGAAGCGTTATCCCGCTCAGACACACCAAAGCACGAGCTGAATGCCTGTTAAACACAGAGGGGAGCTTGTTTTGTTAGATTTTGCTGCTCGTCCCTGACAGCTTTCCCTCCATCGCCCGGGCCGGGGGGCACCCGGAGCGGGGACAGCCCCGCGGGCCGGGCGGCGAGCGAGCGGTCCCGGGCACGGACAGCGTGAGGCGGCGGGGCCGATGGAGGGCCGCCAGGTGGGATGCCAAAAATGACCTCGGAGAGAGCGAGGCACTGCCAGGGACACGGGTGGGGACAGCCCCAAGGCAGGGACGGATGAGAAGCAGCAGAGATGCTGACAGTGAAAATGTCAGCAGTAACCAGAGGTGGGTAATTGTTCTCAGGGTCAGTAGAGAGCTGCAGGAAAAAAGGCAGGAGTGGAGTTAAGATCCTTGTGCACAGACTCCTGCAAACAAGGAAAAGCTAGTTTAAAAGCTGTTTTTTAAAACTCTGCCTTGCGGAAGAACAGGAAAGGTAAGGCGTTGGTGCAAGCAGCGCTCAAACCACGACAAGCCTTCAGCTGAGATTTCACCTCCCCTACAAAGTTTATTGACACTTATACGGGAAGCAGCGAACAGGAAAACGTAATTACATGTAAAAACGACATGCTAAAAAGAGTTTGTAAAACTGTGCGCTGAAGTCGGGGAGTGTCCAAACGCAGCCGCCCGTACGGCAGGCCCGAGCCCCGGCGGCACCGGCCGGGCGCTGAGGGCCGCAGGGGCCGGGCCCGCCTCCATTTCCCGCCCGTCACCTGACGCCTCTAATGGCGCCGCGCGGCCACGTGACCCACCGCGCGCCCCACGTGACCCGCGGCCGCCGCGCCCCCTCCCCAGCGGCTGCGGTTACCGCAGTCCCCGGCCCCGCCCCAGGCCCCCCCTCGCCCCCCCTCGTTCCCCCCCCTCCGCCTCCCGGGCCGGGCGGTGCGCGCGCGCGGCCGGCGGCGCCTCCTCAGAGCGGCCGCGGCGGGTTCTGCGCTGACGGGGCCGACGGACCAAGACCGGCGGAGCGGCCGGAGCGGGCGGCGCTTCTTCCTCCCTCCTCCTTCTCCTCCTCCTCCTCTCTCCTCCCTCCCGCATCCTCCTCCTCGGCCCCCTCCTCGCCCGCCTCCGCCCCCCCGCACGCAGGCACCGCGGTTCCCGGCACGGACAACATGGCGGCGGTGTCGGGGGCAGGGGCTGCGGGCGGCTCCGCCAGCGCCGGCGGCCCGGAGATGGTGCGGGGACAAGTGTTCGACGTGGGGCCGCGCTACACCAACCTCTCCTACATCGGCGAGGGGGCCTACGGCATGGTGTGGTGAGTGCGGCCGCCGGGGCAGCGCCCTTGCCCCGGACAACTCCCTCCTCCCTTCCCTCCCTCCTTCCCGCCGCCCTGCCCGGCCGCGGGCCCGGCCCGCCCTTGCCCTCGGGGAGGGGGAGCAGCTCTGTCTCGCTCTCCTCAGCTCTGCCTCCCCCTCGGTGTTCCCGAGGTTGTCTCTCCGGCATCACCCTTCTTTCCTTTCCCTCCCTGCACCCCCCCATCCCTCCGTCGGTGGGTGCAGCTGAGCGTCTCGTTTCGTTTCGCTCCTGCGTTTATTTTCTTTAAGTCTTGTGCCCGTGGAGTTGGTCGCTCTCGTTATTTCCTCCGTCTCCGTAGTGCGATTGCAGACGTTCAGGAAGGGTGGGAAGGTGGTAAATCCTGCTGGCAGCCCCGCGTCCCTTCCAGTGCCCGTGCGAGGGCTCACCTGGCTGCGGCAGCCCGAGGTCGTGGGGGATAAAAGGTGAATGTGAGCGCAGGAGTTGCTGCCGCTGCCTGACTTTGCTCAGGACGTGCTGTCTGTGCTGCAGAGCTGGCCGGATTAGTGCCTGCGTTAGCGTGTGCAGGTGAAAGTTCTCTTAGCTGTCCTAGCTCTAAATTATATTGCATTATAAGGACTTAGCCTGAATCTCGCTGAAAAGCGATCGTGTGCGCTTGCTGTGGGTAGCATCGGTCTTACAGAGCGCCGTGAACGAACTACAAAAAACGTGAACTAACTGGATTAAGAGTGCGAGATGGATTTTTTAGCAGTCTCAATGAGCTGGGGTGATGCTGTGTGATCTGTGTATCTAATGACTGGGTTATTAACGTAGTATGCTCAGTGGCCTGACTTGGGATTTCATATTTTGTCTTCCGTTAGTTAAAAAAACCCCAGTAGCCCTGAAATAACTTGAGGGATGCAGATGAAAAACTCTTTTTTGTTGCTGCTTTATCAACTTTCTTGCAACACTGACTCTGTTTCTTCAGTGTGGTTTTTGACCAGAAGTACTAAAAGCGACTTACAGGCTGTGACTTCATGAAAGCTTTAGCAGCATTAGTTTCTCTCTCTGATGAGGAATCTTTTGTAAAGCAGTGCATTTCTCAGCGAGGACACCTCAGAGCCTTCAGCTGTGCGCTACAGATTTTTATAGCTGTAGGTTTTTGCACATAGTCACTGAATTGTGCTGGCCTGTCAGGATGAAGTCATTGTGTGTTTCAAGGAGGGAGCTTTCATCTAGGCCTGAGTTTAGCTGGGAGATGAGCCTCTCTCTCAGAGTTTTGTGTTGTGGCCTTCACTTTTTTTTTTTGCTGTGGGAAGAACCTTCAAAATGTAAATCAGAAATCCCGTTTACAGTGTAAAATATCCTTGTTATTGTTTCAGTGTTAGAAATCACAGCAATATATCTAGTCCAAAACTTGTTGATGTAGCTTCTGGTACAGGCTGTATTTTGTTATGGTTATTTTATCATCTGAACCAGGGTAAAGAAATGAGTGCAGATAATCTCAGTGGTGGCTGCACTGGTTTGCACTCACAGTCAGGTTTTTGAAGGTCCTGGGGAACAGCATTGCTGAGGTGTGTGCTGGGGACAGTCCAGTTCACTGTAACAAGGTGTTAAAAACTGTGTTTCACAAACAAAGTGAAAAGCTAAAATATTTCACCACAGATCAGGGACCGCAAGAAGCAGCAGGATGGCAGTTGATGCCCTTTTTTGGCATCCCTGGGCCAATGAGCAGATACAGGGGAAACAGGGCCACTTCTGCCCCTCCAAATTGTGTGTGGTAAACTTCTACACTGAAGCTGTTGCCACTCCAAATCCAAAAGGTTGCTTTTTATTTGAAAACTTCTTTTGATACTTTGTGTCTGCTGTGAATGCTGTACACAATCACTATCAAAATTCCCAAATCTCCAGTTCTGTTGAAATATGCACTTGGCTCCTGTGTTTTCTGCTATACAATTATTAACATAAAATGCCACATTATGTATTTTGTGCTCTTGATTATTGCTCTTGTGCCTTGGGTGTGAAATGACAGGGAGCAAAGTCTCAGTTTATAGGGTGCAGTTGATCAGGAAAGTGTTGGATGCACTGGCAGCAGTGCCATGGCAGCTGTGCTGTGTGCTGGTGACTGCAATGAAATGCCATTGCCTATCAGTCCCAGCCGTGCAGGCTGTGCAGTTCTCTGCTCTGTGTTTCGTGTTTTGCTCTGGTTGCTAATGCAGTGAGGATCTGCAGAAGCTTCTCCCTCAGGGGGTGGGGTAGAGGGCAAGCTGTGAGTGTGCAGATGGAGATGTTTCCTGCAACTGCAAAATCCATTTAAAATTATACACTGATAAAGGAAAGCAAAGCAGGCCTTGATGGTTTTGTTTCAGACCCACAGCTAATGTGGAGCTCTTCGGAGATGATGGTTATTTACAAGTGCACTGCCATAAGGCTTGTTACATGGCAAACGAGTGTCTTTTGACTCTTAAAATCCTTCACTCTCTCTCTCGTTTTTATCCTAATTCTTATATTTCTACGTTGTTGGATTAGGGATTTGAAAACAATAAAATGCTTTTGATTATATGAGTAAAAGGGCAAATGAAGTATTCTTAGGATAGTGCTGTTATGGTCGGTCTTCCATTTTTATTTTGCAGCCGAGACAATAATGTTTGAGAAATATTGATCACAACATAAAATGCCAGTACAGGAAATAGAGGAAGATGTTGGCTGAAGAGACTGTACATGAATGTTCTCTCATCTGGATTTGAAAACCCTTGAAGGCATTTAACTATTTTCCTAGTGCAGTCATTTTTTTACATAATCAGATTTTGAGTAAAAATAAACTCAGCAGAGCAGTATATTTACTGCTGTGTTGTGGTTGCACTTTCTCAGCTTCGTAAGCAGAAAAGGCACATTATCAGGCCAAACCCCATCCTAATGTCCTCCAGTTCAACTCTGCCAGAATCGTTCAGCCTGTGATTCAGCCTTTTGTTGCAGAGGGTGAAGTGGTAGGAGGTGGATCCCTGTCAGAGCCCCTTTCTAACCCGTTTTTGTTTTGGTCATTCTGCATGTGAAACTGAGGGCTGAGCACAGAGTGAAGTTTGAGCCAAAATCGTCAGCACTTCCTAGGTCTGCAGGACATTCTTTGAGCAATTACTTAGTCATACAGTCATGTTTGTTACTCTGACTTAATTCATCCAAATATATGTAAATGTTGTGTTGTCTTCCTCTCTGCTTTCACTTAAGAATTATTAGTTGTTTTGAGGGGCATTGGGGTAAAGTTCTTTGAGTGACTTTCCCTTTCATTCAGTGTTAGGATGTTATTGACATCAGAGTCAGATGGAACTCGCTTTCAGACCAGGTCTGAGAGTTTCAGAAATATCTTTCAGGCACAACAAATTGGGAAAGGTTGTTGGGGTTGTTTCTTTCTCCCCTTGTGTGGGCTTGGTTTTATTATTAGTAGTATTGTTTTAAAGCAGCCTGTTAACAAGCCATACTTCAAACACACTGGAACAGCAATAAAAATATGATGGAGTTGAGCTTTACATTCCCAGTGTGACGTGTTCTTCCTCTGGTTGATCAGTGGTAATTTGGCAAGGATGATAATTTGACAGTAAAAAACAAATAATAATTTTGGAAAGAAATGGTGAATTGAATGTGATAGGGATGTTCTCATTTTTATCCTAGCTTTTCAAAGCTTTTTTTGTCATCAAGCTTATATGAATGTGAAGTAATATCAGTGCTGCAAATAACTGCTTATAAATAAGCAGTTGAATGCAGATGAGTGCAGTTGGAAGAAAATAATCTGCAAGCTCAAATTTTGGATTTCTTGCTCTGAATTTGCCGTGTTACAAAGAGAGCTTTGTGTTACTGATGTGCTGTGAGAGAGTGATATTAGAAGTTTAGGTAGTCAATAGTTAAATGTTAAAGTAATGCTGAAAAGAAACTTAAAACATTTGGCAGTAGATTCTTTAAAGTTACACTTCGCTCTACTGTCTCATGGAACTGCCCTACTTTTAGAGCATCAATAATTTAAAATGAAGAGAAGCATATTAATAAAGAAACTAAAACCGAAGGAAATCAGGAATAGAACGATCTGCAAGGCATAGATATCGATATTAAGACATGAAATTAGAATGGAATTGAAGGTTGCATAATAGTTTCTTTTGAGTTACATAAAAAGGTGGCTTTTGCATCCTCTGTGGGGGTCAGCGTGGTGGCTGGGGTGGGCTGCTCAGTGGCAGTGATCAGTTCGTGTTTGTTCTGTTAGCTCTTGCCTTGATCCTGAGAGACGGAGAGTCCCTTAAGGATGGGGCCAGTGCAGGGATCGTGCCCCTGTTTGCGTGTGCTTTTAGGGAGCACGGGTTGGGTCTGGGTGTCAATACCTGGTAATTAACATGTTCTGTCTGTGTGATAAAGGGAGCAGGGAGCTGATACAACCCGCCCCAGTGCAAGGATCAGAGGAGGGAATTAGGGAGTGTAATTGGTGGCTAGTTATCAGCTTCTTCCCTCTGGGGAGAAGGCAGATGTAAGCACTTCCCTTCAGTCACTCAAGCTTCTAGCACTTACCTAACCTGGCGTGGGAACCCAAAGGAGGAATTAGAGCTGCTTTTCCTGCTCTCCTGCTGATGGACAGGTGGCCCCCACAAGCTGTGCAGCAGGGACGGGCAGCAGCAGCTCGCTCCGTGTCAGAGCTGTCTTCCCAGTTTATGGAAGATAAGATATAGCAACTTTTGCTGTCAGCCCAGAGCAATGGGATACTGGCTTAGCTGAAGAGTGCAGTTCATGGACACTTGCATTTTATGAGTAAATACACATTTTTCTAGCACAGCATGATCCATCCCATGGGAACAGAGATAACTTATGGGTTTTCTTAGAAGAGTGCTTTATTAAGGAAATAAGGCTTATGTGTTCACAGCATGTGTATGTGGCTGCATCTGTCCATCTCCCATACCTGTACATACGATTCTAGTACCTGTTGCCTGCCTTCCATCAAATCTGACAGATGGTAAAAGTCTTAAAGATAGAAAGTTATTCTGCAGG